AGCTATAGCAGCTTGTTCCCGCACAACTTCATCCCAGTGAATGATTTGAATGAGAAAGATATAAAAAAGAAGGGTCATAATAACTGAAATTTACCTTCTTCTCGAGAAGATGATCAACTATAGCGTCTGCATACTTGGGAAAGCAGACAACCTCAGCGCAGACTTTGGTATAACATCTCCAACGGTTTCCTACCGCGAAATAATCCGCTGAAACGATAACAAAGATAAATATTTGAGCATTAATACCAAATGGATACTTACCTGTAGTGAGCAACGCAATTCCATCAGGAAAATTTGCTTGCCTGCCGATGTTCTCTTGAAAAGCAGCAGAGGCTGCTCGGCGCAGGTTTACTTCTCTATCAAACAATGCGGCGCACATCTAAATGTTGAGACAACAAAGATCAAACCTATGTTCAAAAATGTTTTTTGAAGCTTACCAAACTAGTGGCCACATCGTCTATGAAACTCTTCAGCTGTTCAGGCTCGTACGCTCGAGCAAACGCCCACAGCACATAGCTAGCGGCATCACGAACGTTACTACCAAGTGCGTGACGCCCCATAGGTTCTTCATAAAATAGTGCTTGTTGCACGATAGGAAATGCCTAAAGAAATAAAAATCACACAAACCGTTGAACTTTACGGAAAACGGCAACTCTACCTTGTCTAGTGCTTCGGGCAACAAAAATCCTCGCCGTGACAGCTCAGCTAATGCCAAGCAGTCTCCGTGCCACGAACAATGTCCAGCAAGTGGATGAAAACTTGTAGAAAGAACAGAAACGACTACTGAAAGGACGCAATTACTCTAGAAAAAATAAAAATAAAAACATTTACCTTGCACAGCTAATTCCTTGGGAAGACGAGCAGTTATACGTCCAACACCTTTGGCGGCAGACCACCTCACAGTGGTGTGATCATCTGACAAGGCGCTCAGCACGCAACCAATAGCCCATTCTACCTAACATCAGTAGAAATATTTATGAAAAGATAAAGAATTCCGTGTCTTCAAAACCCTCTAGCCCTTCATGCGCCGACCGCAACTACTTCACAGAAAAAGAGGCAGATGGGATGTTTGGGATGTTTCTGCATTCCCATTGGTTCTTGTTGATTTAAAGGCAGCGTCCAGGCAAAT